TTTTCTATCTTATAGCAATCCAAAAAGCCAAAATTGTCTCTACATTTGTTTACATTACTCAAGAACAAGATTAAACATGGCGGCCTTTCTGTCACTGTTCACCGCTGGCTTCAGTTGCTCACCATTAGCTCCAGCTCTGAAGCACACTCCAAACAAACTTCACAGAAAAACTTGACTTTGGGTTCAATTATGTGCTTCTCTGGATCTAGACTGCATCTTGTGTGAATTTTAATTATTTTTCTACAACACTGTCGAGGTAGAGCATTTTCATAAATTCAATATTTCATCAAGGTAACAAGCACACAGCCTCACACACAGTTTCCCGTGTAATCCACTTAAAATGGCTGTAATATTTAATTCATACGCGCGTCATTAAAAGTGCAGTGTGTCCATTATGCATTCCTTTTCAGGCTGGATAAAACAGCCTCAGATGTGGGTGCTGCCTTTTGAAGTAGTGTCTCAGAAGCAGTCGACTCTTACAGGAAGTCCCTGATGTTTTAACCATGGCGTGTACGGGGCACGTACCGAGGTGGGCACCAGTGCACTGCCCCATGTGCCCCAAAATGGCCATCCAGGAATTTGTAGTGGTACACAGAATGGACATCAAATAAACAGACAAATATATAGAAGCTGGGGATCTGAGCGTAGAAGAAGTCCCTCAAGACTGGAAATGTGGTGAAGAGTAAAAATAATGCATTGTTGCAATGCAATAAAACTGTAATAATTTTAATGCTATTATTATAAAAAGTGTTAAAGTTGTTCATCCCTCAAATTGCAAGACTCCCTATAGAAATGTGACAACCGTTGATACAAAATTTCCCTACGCAAATAAGCAAAATTGACTCCTGTGAGCTTTAAGCCCTTAAAAATACACTTGGAGTTGTGTTTTGTTTCATTCATATATGTTTGAGTCATCCTTCCTTATTAGTCTGTGTACATCTCCAAAGTTCACAATACTCTGCTCCACCTTGTGATGTCATGTAGTGGACGTTTTCAATTTTACCTTTCGTTCAGTAGAAATTGACAGTTCCAGGGCTGCAATGATCCAAATGATTCTAGTGCAGATGTATGGAGTTTAAAAACACAGTGGAGCACTCCCTGTATTGCCACATGACATTAAAAGAGTGTTTTCAGTTTGAGAGAACATTATAATAGATCAGAAAACAATATAATATGAGCCCTTTAAATAAATAAAGTTGACTTAAATTGCAGAATATTTGCTCATATTGGAAACTGCAGTGGTTTACAGCCCTTTACAACCTGCTGGGCTGAAGTCACTATGTTGTTGTTGCTCTTTACAGTATGGCATAATGTCCGATTTTAACTTGAACTAACTTTGACAGTTGTTTCTCTAACATGGTGCAACAGTAGAGTGAGAAAAGGGTGGGCGGGGCTAGTAGACAACCCTGAGTCTTTTTCTCATGGAGTCAATTGAGCACATGCTCTTCTATGCTTTTTTCCCAGTGAGCTGTTACAAACTATCATGTCCTGCTGCCTTCCTTTTAATATTAATTCATAATGAAAAGTGTTTTACAGTCAAATTACTCTACAAATAGTATTAAGGGTGGCATCCGCTATGTAATAAACAATGAGAATGTTGATGCATTGAACAGTGATTGAGTTATCTTTGTGAATTATATTTGATTTAATTTGCTTTGCTTTATTGCATCCCATGTCCTTATGTCTGGACATTATATTTACGACTGTTGTAAAATAATACTTTTTGGAATAACATCGCATCAGTAACAGGGAGTGACAGCAAAACCACATTTGCACTCACATAGGCCTGTCACGATACTTGCTATAGCGACTTATCATTCAGTATATACTATACAGCAATATATATATTTTTTATGTATTGTTGTTATACACCCAAATTGAAATAAGTTTAATAATATTACTATAAACAGTGTTAAAGCTGTTCATCCCTCAAATTTGCCTTTAAAGGTCTTATATTACGCAATATTCACTCTTGTGAGCTTTAAGCTGTGTTATAATGTTGTTATAACACATAACTCCATACCTGGAGTTATGTTTTGTTTCATTCATTTAAATTTGAGAAATCCTGCATTATTAGGCTATCTACATCCCCAAAGTGCTAAATGCTCTGTTCCACTTTGCAATGTCATAAAGCAGCAGTTTTACCTTTTGTTCAATAGAAATAGGCTGAAATGATCCAAATGATTCTAGTGCAGATGTATAGAGTTTAAAAACACAGTGGAACATGTCCTGTATTACCATATAACATCACAAAGTAGAGCAGAGTGTTTTCTGTTATAGAACAATACATTTTGGGGGTTAATATTTAGCTTGGGACTTTTTCTTTGTACTAGCGAGGAACTTTTAAAAGTATTTTCTGTACTATGATCAGATATGAGCTGCAGAGGGATGGATGAATAAATAACTATGCTCATCATAGATATAAAACTAACTACCGAAGTGTTTCATTATGCTATTTACTTATTGCAGTTTGTGTTTTTTTTTTTTACAATGTTATACATTTAAAATCGTTTTTTGGAGTAACCCTGCTGTAGGGTGATTGTGTCAGTGGCATAAATTAGTTTCAATGTTGTTGTTTATCATCTATATTTTCTTTTCAATATATCGTACATCAGCTTTTGTTATTGTGACAGGCTTACATCCACACTCACTTTGAATGTTTCCCATGCAACTAAACCGTCTGTGGTGATGGCGAGGGAAGTTGAGTGTCAATGCCGATAACCTGGGTGTGTTCAATGTGCTGATTCACGCTGGATTTTCAACGGGAAGGAAAAGTGCGGTATTCTACAATCAGGAAGTCCCTGTCTGTCAACTTTTCCCAAACCACCTACCCCCCTACATGTTCCATAGCCCCGACTATAACTGTCGCCTGTATTTCTGCTTTTGTAAGATGTTTTTTTTTTTCTCTCTCTTTTGTGTGGCCAAAACTTAGGAAATAGTCATGCACTTCCAAAAAAAAAAAGCTGATGTGTAGCTTCTTCCTTTTTTGTGTGTTCATTTGCATGCTGATGTCGGGAAGGAAAGCTGTCGTTTTCCTTTCTCAAGCCGCAATGAGACCAGAACTTTAGCTTTATTTGGGGCTTTCGCTAATGTTGAATGTGGTCAGTGTCATCACCTTGACTGAGATCCAACTGGTGCAGGTAGGAAGGTTAAAAATAGGGCAACTTTGCAAGCAGGAAAAATCTGCCTATGAATGAGTGGGCTTGTTCGGGTTCTCATGCTAGAAGAATTGACTCAATGTTATGAAATGCTTGGGTTTATAGGCAGAACAGCTGTGGAGCTGGCGTGAAAATGCAAATTTTGTGTTTGGTTAGCAATCTCTTAGCTTTATCTCCCTTCCATATTTCACAATCTTTGGGGTGTGTGGTTAGCGCTTTGTACTGGGTAACCACTTCAGCAAAAATTCAGTTAGCATTTCTGAGGAGGTTTTGTTCCACTTTCATCTTATCTGCACAGATTTTCAAGATTGGGAAAGAGATACTTGAGGTTGCACGGTTCTCAGCCCTCTCTCTATGTCTATATGTTTTGGAGAAATGACTCCTACTAGGTTTGTCCAGCATTTGTTAAGCCTGTTTATATCCCCTGCACTGCTGTTTCAATAAGTAAGCTTTGGTTTTTCTGAAGTGAAAGGAGAACTTGGGCAAGACTGAAACTCACTTGTGCAATAGCTTTTCATTTGGGAGCAACACCTGCAGTTTGTAACAGTGACACACATCTTAAAGGAACACACAGGGGGACAGTGGGCGCTCCATTGAACAGAGAGGTAAAGCGCATTGAATTGTAATTTGAAGTTGTTGTTAGTTTAGTTGTTTTGGTATTTTATGGTTACGTCTAAACTTAAATTTTGCTTTTACTTTATTGCAATTCTGTCATTTTTTTTTTTTTTAGAGGGGGATTTCCATTATATTTTGCATTCCAGTAATAGCACAGTAAACCACCTCCTATGTGAAGAAATTAGCACTTTAATTTAGGTGAGGTTTCATGTCAGATGCCCTTCCTGCTAAAGCATGCCTCTGTATGGGACTGGAGTTAAGCGCATGAAGATTTCACTGGCTTGATTTGTTGTGACCAGATACGCAAATAAATACATAGGTAAGAGTAGAATAACTGTTTGAATATTACAAAAGATCTATGTAAAGTTACAGCTGTCTATAAGAAGGGCTGTCAAGATTTATTGCTTATTATCAGTGATTATTCAGATGAAATGCAAGAACTAACATAAATATAAAATAATACTGCCACATTTAAAAGAAAATTAAGTCATTTCAGTTCAGCTATACTCTATAATGCATTTTATTCGGTTTCTGTTACATTTAAATCACTTTTTCATTCAGAAAGTTGTGTTACCATCTTAGTTACATGGTTCACTTTTGATCAGGCAGGATGGAAGCAAAGACATGTGCGTGTGGATTTAAGGGGTGAGTGTAAGTAGTTGGGCTATTTATTTCTAATAGAGGTAATGAGATTAGGAAAGTACTACTTTCAACCACAGGAAGGACTAAATCAATGAAGACAGTTGTTCTACTCAACTAACCATAAATATTCATTTTAAGGGTGATCTACGATGCTGCGTTAATGAAAGCACAAAGAGACTGCCAACTCAAATTGCAATCAGTGTGCAACTGATTTGATCTAACAACAAGAACAGAAAAACACCAACTTATCTTAACTATATATATATCTTTTCATTATCCCATTTCTATTATGAGATCTAAGCGACTCTCAACTAAACTAGAAGATCTAAAGTGACAGTAGCTCAGTTGGATCAGTCAGATGGTTGGTGGTTCGATCCCAGCTCGATCAGGTGAATACTGTTGTTGTGTCGTAGGGAAAGACACTTCGTCCATCTCCTCCCCAGTGTCTGTGTATAGTTGTAAATATTTATTTAGTTAAGTTGAATATACAATCTTGATTTCAATTTAATTTATTAAAAACATGATATTGACATTATGATAAGCACAGATTTATATTTGTCCAGTTAATTTTTTTTTTTTTTTCAGATATCTGATTAAAATATATACATTCATTAAACATAAAATACTGAAATGGAAAAGGTGACATCATATATTTACATTGGGTTAACATTAGATTCTTCGGCTGTGACAATAGAAAACGCTTGCTTGTTTATATCCACATATTAGCCTGTGTGTGTATGGCGGGCATTGATAATTTGTAAGCATGTCCCCTTCACACATGCATAGACTCGCCATTGTCGAAGTTGATCTGAATGACTGAAGCAGCATTACGTCTGAAATCTAATCAGATCCCCTTAAGTAGATAACAAGCGTGTCTCCGGCATTTACAGTAGTGAGAAAGGCGAAGTGAAACCAGGACAATTCTCTTGTCACACAAAAAACAGTGCAGTGCTAGTGTGCGCCAGCGGTCCCAACATGGCATCCCTTCTCCTATCGCTGTAGTGACAGAAATATGTTGATTGGCCCAACAACTGGCATCTTGTTTGGGATGGATAACCCAAATAAGAGCCCCCAGTCTGCGCTGACAACCAGAGTATTGTGATGTGTATATAGGTGGATGAATGGTGAATCAGACTGTGAGCTTACCAAGGGGAATGCAATGTTTTTAGGAGGAAATGGACAGAGCAGGTTTCTATATTGTTTAGTATTATAGTGAGAAGTATGCTAAGAGTTCATTTGGAATCAGTCCCCCTAATGCTACGCTACATGTGGGCCGAATATCAGTGAAACTCAGGTTGAGAGGATTTGAGAAGAAAGATTGAAGGAACGACTTGTTATTGTTTTGAGCTAGAATAGATTAGGCTGGGGAAATTCTAGGATATACTAAACGACGCTGTTGAAAATGTGAGCTTGAAAACTTTAAAAAAAAGAAAAAGGAGAGGGGGATGGTGAAAAAAATTAAAGTTAAAAGTTGTAGGAATGGTCAGAAATTTACCAGTTACACAATGAGTGTATTTTTATGTAACCTAGTATAACACACAAAAACATTAAATTAGTTATGGGTTTCTTACCAATAAGAACATGGAAATCTAATCTTCTGTTAAGGGCCCAACCCAAGGTGCAGATTTTTGTCTAATTTTACCTTTTGCTATTTTTATTTAGTTCTTATTTTAACCACCTTTGGCCCCAATGGTCAATTTATATAGGGTTACTAAGACTAGACTAATGCTATTGGATGTGATTGTAACAATACATGTATTGTTGGCACCATTTAGGATTCTCAAAATAGTTAGCGGCCATAAACTAATAAAGCAACTTAAAGTGCGCTCCAAACTTGAAACTGGATTAGACATTTTTAGGTAAGATGTCCCTATCTCAAAATAACTTACTCTGTATAAAAAAAGAACTCAAAATAGACATATCAGATGTTTTGAGTACACCATCTCTATCAACAGTGAATGAATAAAAGGGCCTGGTTAAAAATGGCAGTAGAAAAGTTATTTAAAACACCCACTGAAGAACAAGGGTCAATTGTACTGTCCCATTAGCCCTGGAGCAGGACACTGAGGACACTGGTAGCTGGGCTGATTGGTCAGTTCCAGGGAAGAGGGCGGGGCAGATGAATTAGTGATAGAGGCTAAAGGCAGATATCCTGCAGTGATCAAACCAGGGGTGATCTGAGAGTTTGGTGTTTGAAGTAATTATCAAGCTACGCAACATAAAGGGTCACCTCAGCTTTGGGCCTAATTAGCTCACTTAGCTGGCCCTTATAAGGCACTGGTGGGACACAGCGAGGACAGTCACTCACTAAGGACACAGCATCAGTAGCAGGACGAACTAGGATCCTAAAAAGTGGCTGCTACATCCAAAACAAACCCAACCTGAAGATTACTGCTTTTCTGAGAATGCCACACTTAACTGACTGCAGTTACTACACCATGAGGGATGCAACCAGAGCTTCAAATGTAAGGATGCTGTTTAAAGATGTTAAATGTTTGGTTTTAAAAGTATTTTGTCTTGTCTGTTGTCTTTCTTGATCTATCTGGGTTTGGCATTGTTGGTAAGGTGATGAGCGCGTCATGCTTTGGTTGGGTATTTCAGTTTATTTAGCAGGCCTTTGTGACTTCTGAAATGTCTTTTGCTTTCGTAAGATATTTAAAAATTCTTAAAATGTTTCTAAGTTGGTTCTCTGCTGAAAAAGTGACTTCAAAGCATTACTGAAAAAATTTAATGTCATGCTCAAATGGTAGTCACTTGATTTTCTATGAAGTGAGTTTTGGTCTTACTAAGAACTCATGAGTAATGTAAAAACAAATGACTTAATAATGATTAGTAAAGGGAATGATTAGCTGATGATTAGATCATACTCAAACAATGAGATCAACCAAAATCTGTCTTCCTCATCTCAAAAAAACAAAATTAACACCTGACTAAATGTCTGTGTAATCCCGCCGTCATCTAGGTATGTTCCATAGCAAGAGAAAATTCAACTGAGCAAAGGTTTTCTTCAAACAGCTCGACTCTTAAACTGTTGTCCAGTTGGCAGAATTTGCATTTCTTTTGCTGTAACTGACTAAATAATAATAATAAAAAAAAGAAATGGCTACTTAAACAATACTACAAACCAAAAAATGATGTTTTATCTCAAATGTAAACTTTATGATGCAGGTTCAGAGCCACCTGGAGAGCTCCAAGTTCCAACTGCACCAGAGCCAGTCGCAGCAGGTGAAGCAGTACCTGACGCTGGGCTCCAAATTAGCCTCTTCCGCCGCCCCAGGACACAGTACCATGCCTCACCCGCACACTCCCGGACAACCCATCGCCACCGTGCCCGTCATGAGGCAACATCTGGGCTCCGTGAGCGATGGAAGCAGCCCCAATAGTCCCGTAACTCTGCTGACGATGGCAAACCCAGATGGCGAGGTGGGTGCTACTTCTCTATGTGAAAGTACATAAGTTTACGCTAGGTCGCAAAGTGCTTTTTAGTGTCTGGAATCTAAAAATGAAAGTAATCGACTAACTCATCAAATGTGTTGTAACTTCCTTGTTCGGTTTTCTTTCTCGTCCTGTCACGATAACAGATTTTGAGGAGAATATAGACTTAGACTTAGACAAACTTTATTGATTTTATGGACACAGAAGTATAATAACAAAAAGCAAAACTATAAATCGTACTGCTAAATTCAAAATTAGCAGCAAAAAATATTTATAGACTGTAAAATAGAAAGTACAATATACAAAAAGGAAATTTAAACACTTTAGTAGTTAGTTTGTTTCTCTTCTAAATTATTTATTCGACCTTCTTCAGCTCAAATGTTGTTGTAGTAAAGAAAATAACAGAAACTCCTCCACTAGTGTAAAATCAGTATAAGTATCGTGATAGGCCTGTTTCTAGTTTTGTTTTAATAGCTCTAAACCACTTGTGTTAATGTAAAATCATGTCTGTTACTTTGTTTACTACTTGTTATCAGCAATGTGTCAAAGTAGATTAACTTTTATAACATCAACAATGCAAACGGCTCTGACTAATCAACACTGTGATTGATTTTACTCTCCCTGCCTTGCTCATCAATAACTTCATACAGTCTGAAGATGAGATGAGAATTTTCATTGATAACAAATGCATGATTTACCACCTAATACTCAGCAATGGAAAGCTAGTTATTATTGGATTATTCTGTAACAGTCCCTCCCCTTTTGTGGTGTATATTTTGAATGTACTATGAGCTTTCCAAAGTTTAACATGGACAGTATTGGTATCAGTCTGTCCATAAATATACTGAAAATCGCTGTTTTCTTTTAGTTCCCTATGGATGAAGTTATTGATGACCTAATTAGTCTTGAATCCGGGTTCAATGATGGGGGCTTGGATTGCATGGAGCCCAACATCATAATGCAAAACAATGTAAGTATCAATCATTGCTAAGCTAATGTCTGATGATTTTTGTCCAATTAACAACTTTAACTCCAAGTCTGTGTAAACATGTATGTGCAGCTTGACTGGCTTGGGAACGGGGGGACCCTTCTTGGAAAAGGGGCAGCTTAAGTCTCGAGACAAGTCAAAGTTCACTTAGCTTAGCAACATTTCTCACATTACTTACCAAGATCAACAATAAAGATTAAAGGCGCACTGTGTAACTTTTCAGCTGGAGGTCTGTCACCTTCTTGTTTCTATGGATATGCCATTGCAATATGATGTTAACTAGTTTTGCCTTACATTTATTCATTTACAGATGGTTTTATAGCTCAAAAATACTTAGAAAAACAGGATTTGTGACTGTGAGCGGGGTTGCTTCTTCACAGATCTGACCTGTAACTTTGTCTGGTTTGGTTTCCATAAAGATAGAAAGGTTTAATGCCATACTGTGAAACAATCCGGACAAAGCAATAACATCTCCATGGAGAAAAGCCTTTGACGGACCACAAAAGTTACACAATGCGCCTTTAAGTTAAAACAAGAAGCGTCATAGGTGACAATGTGAAGTTAGTATGCCTAGGGAGGTATGTGGGGACCTCAACGCAAGAAAACTTAAGGAATGCAATGACAACACAGCCCAATACAGAAAGTGATTGTGAATGCAGTTAAACATGCTGGCACTGACAACACACAACAATATGGTGACAGAGGCAGGAATGAGTGGGTGGGAGAAGGCGAGATTCACAAAGTTGCAAATAGACAAGAGATATCCAGCCATCAGATTGGGCGATCGCAAGCACTACTCCCTACGGGCTTGCTCAGAAATGATACGGAGATTGATTCATTCTAATTAGTCATACAGTACTACTATGCATCTTGTCATTTTGCGGTGTCAACACATCCAGGAAAGCAGATGTAGGAGGACTAAAAGTGATTACGATTGAAGTGGAATATGGCGTACTGTTGCAATCTTTCACTTTGATAAGCAGTTGTATCCCACCCTCCTCCATCTTGCCGAGATAATGAGACAAATGCTTGCAAACCACAGCAAATGCAAATATTTGAAATGTCTGCGTTTTTCCTTCTATTTTGTTTCTTTCTTCAACCACTTTCTCCCCCCCGCCGTCGCCAGTTCTCAGCCTGACATGCAGCGTTATCGTCTACCCCGCTCAATTTGACACACATGTCGTAGTTGAAATCGGCTGCGCGCATCTTCGGAATCTTCGGAGTTCCCATAAATACACAAATGCGAATTAGACACACACGCATGTCAGCACGCTATATCTTGACATTCCCTGCTCCGACTGTGAAAAGGCGTCATTATCGGCCAAACTTGATGCATGCTTTCCCAGACAAGAAGGGGGCCATATAAACAGTTTTGCCTCTGTCTCCAGTAGTTGACCTAGCTAGCCTCTTCATGCGACGGCGTACTATTTTCAACACAAAGGCTAGCACTGTTTTGGGTGAGACTTCTAAGTAAAAGCTTTCAAAAATGGTGGGTTTAACAGATGTGTAGCCCTGGATTGTCGCTGAGAACAAGGGTGAAGGTCAGGCTTACATGAACCCAGAGCCTGGTTACATGGCGCTGTTTGCAATGTTAAATAAGTAGTGATGTTGTTTGGGGTACTATCGCTCCCTACGGTTAAAACCAAAGCAAGTATCCTGGGGGCAGACAACCTCTCTTCCTACGTCTCTGTTGACTTTTCATCTTTTACAAGTTTAGCCTTTAAATCCCACTGACAATAACAAAAGACTCACAGCAGCCCTAAACAAGCATTTGTGTTGTAGAAACGACTGACCCTTTCCTCTATCTTCTTTGTCTTCTTCTCCAGGTTTCCCTCAGTAGCAGCATGCTGGACATCTATGGGGGTGAACAAGGTATGAACCCCCCTAGTGGTGGAATGAGTCCTACTTCTAACCCCACAAAGCTCACTGTTAAAAGGGAATACACAGGTACGAACATATACCATAGCTTTAAACGTAATGCTCACTAACAAATTACTACATATAAATAAAGCTTAAATTCATACACATATTCCTAACTAATAACATTTAATTTAACATAATTTGAATTACTACAGCATACAAACATACTTTTATACACAATACAATTTGAATTACTTTACATTGCTAATGGTACTGACTTTGTATTACCCCTTTTGAGCAAGTGGTTGTTTTTAAAATGTTACTTTTGGTACAGTTGTGGGAAAAATGTATTGATTTTCTGTATATATATATTGCAATTGTGATTATATTTATGATAGAAGTTAAATAATGTCATTGCACAATAGCTCTAGGAGGCTTAACATTTGAGAGAAGACTGAAATATGAACTAATAAAAGAATACATAAGTCCCATGATTTTTAGAACATGTTTGTAGAGGTCTAAGTACAGCACATGTTTTCTGTAAAAGAGAAAGAATATTGTGTTCTTTAGCGAGATTAGATTATCTAAATGATTCTAACCTTTACTATTTGATAATTGCACCAACTCAAATTTCGATTTCTATTCAATCGTGGTATATGTGCAACCCTAAGTCTACCCAATCTATTCTTAGCTGATACAACTCGACTCAAAAAGCCAGAAATCCTAATTGATTTAGGAAATAGAAAGAAAGCCACAAAAACCCTTCTCTCGAGGGGCAAATAAGTAAATTGGCATCTGTTTCATTGGAGTGTGGGGTGTAGAGGACAATGGGCTGTTACACAGACTTGAAATTGTCCTGATTGAATCAACACAGACAAATTGGCAAATCCAATCTCAGGTCCCCAATCATGTAATTTGGAAGAATGTGAATACAAATATGGACACATTTTTGTCTCGCTCACGCACAAGAGAGAATTGGCTAAACTGTCTTAATTACTGAGCAAGTAGTTTTTCAAAAAGTTTCCATTTCCTACAATGACTAGACCCTTTCACAGTGTGTTTGTGTGAAAACTAATGTCAAGCTGTCTGACCTTTGCCCGTAGTTCCCCCAAAATAACGGCGCCTCGGCTGACTGGACTTTCTGTTGTGGTGTTTTTGTTCATTGTCTTTCTGTTTCCAAACTAATGTGCGGAGCTAATCAATTTCCGTCTTTGTTTGATTTATTTCAACAGAACACGACACAAGGGTGATGGCCAAAGAGAGGCAGAAGAAAGACAACCATAATTTGAGTAAGCAGCTTTCAATTTCCTGTTGTGGGAATTTGGTACCACTTTATAGTATAATTTCTAACAACCATTTGCCTTAGAGCCACATTAGCCAAAAACTTCAAATAATCAGTTTTATTTCTTGCACTTAAAAACATGAATCCTTACTCTGAGTAGGCAAACCTGAAATGGGGTTCCTTTGGATATCATCTTCCACAGTATGACAGAAATCTTATCTATCTCAATTGAGAATGTTCTGAAGTATAATTTTAACTTTGTATGAAATCGCACAGATGACATGCAACTTCCACAGAGTTACATGTTGTAAACTATTACTGTTTGTTCATTATGAATGAAGTTTTTCTTCACAACTTACCAACTGATAAGGGCATAATTTATGCCCTAAACACAAACAGTGTATTGTAAAAAATTATCCAAATGTGTTTTGTAACTGTTATGTATCATTTAAAGTGATTACAAAACAGCTTAAAAAACAAACAAAAACCCCACAACTTTAATATTACGAGACATTTTGAGCCAAAATTGGCCAGTAAATCATCAATACACCAATTTATAGACCAAAATGGGATACTGAAGCAATGTCATGGGACCCATATCTGATCAACACTGATATCTGATACCAGCATTGTACCATTGCATCCCTAGTTATTATAAATTTTAAAAGTATAATCAAGGATTTGTTTACATAAGTCTAATATTTGTCACTTTTTTGCAGTTGAAAGAAGAAGGCGCTACAACATCAACTACAGAATTAAAGAGCTGGGGACTCTTATACCAAAGTCCAACGACCCGTAAGTTTCCATACACGCTGGCACACATTTGACTTTATGTAAAAGGGAGAAGTGTATTACATTCACGGCACAAAGACACTCAAAACGCTGTTCATTGAATTTAAATGAGCTCTCGAGTACATTTCAGTCATATTTGAAGAGTGCACTTGAACCTCCATTGTTGTGTGCGCTCCAGGAGTCGCACATCCTCTCTCAGGTCCCTGCGGTTCAGCTTAAAGCATGAATGATGAGCCAAAAGGGTCAAACGCATAGAAGCGGGCCACACCATTTGAATCAAAGTTTGAAGCACAATCGGAACATAGAAAAGGCCGACTATGACACTGAATACAAATCTGACGGCCATCTTTTCACTATTGAACTTTGCTTCAAATTTTAAATGGGGGTTTTAGCGTCGTCATCGTGTCATTAACATTGGATAAAGGAGATTATTAGCGCGGAGCATGCCGACGTCTCACTCGTGCGGAAAAGGACATTTTTACTATGGCTACCCTTTTCCATTTTAAAGCCAAAGCAATAATATCTACAAAATAATGACTTGCACTCTTGCACCTTAAGTCCAGCTCCCCATTCTCTCCTCCTGTCTCCCAACTTGAGCTCATTTTCCCTTCACCTATTTTTACTCACGGATTAATTTTACCGAACAAGGAGGTACGAGAATGGACTTTGAGCATTAACTATTCTATTAAAATTCCCATTCTGCGCCCCCCATGTAATGTCCAAAGAATGAATAATTGCCCCATGTAAATCGCCATTGCCTATTCATATCATAAAAAGGCAGGAAAAGCCGGGTTTTCAAACTTTTCCGGACGTGGTAAAAAAAGGAGGATTTCTGCAGACGTTGGAGGTGTAAAGGTAAAGGTTATCGCTAACACTTGTCTTTTTTCCAGGGACATGCGCTGGAACAAAGGCACGATCCTGAAGGCCTCGGTGGAGTACATCAGGTGGTTACAGAAGGAGCAGCAGCACGCCCGAGAGTTGGAGAGCAGGCAGAAGAAACTGGAGCAGGCCAACCGGAGACTTCTGCTCAGAATCCAGGTATGGGAAACAAACATACACACTATACAAATATGAATGGTTCTCATGGTTTTGTATCAGCTCAATTAGAACTTTAAGGTACAAAACAATGGACACAAATAGAAATCTAAATATTTATATAGTTACAAATGAGTCTTCTTGGAAAATCAAATCTGCTAATATATAAATTTCAAAAATATGACTATTAAAAAACAAGACAATACAGTGTTGTTGCAATACTAAAGTTTCAAATTGAGTTTTGACACTAAGGAAAAGGCTTCTTACTCAATACAAGTTTCGGTACCACTTTGAAAATAAAGAAATTACATTTTGGTAACACTTTATTTTAGGGTGCATTTATTAACACCTAACTAACCACTAATTAGCATAGTTGTAAATAGTTAATTTGTCATTAATTAGTATTTATTCAACCCTTATTAATGTCCAATTCCCCATGAGCTTATTCTGCTATTAGTTAGAAATTTACAAACACTTTCCTATTAATACACTCCTTATTACTGCTTATTAATATGATAGTAGGCAATTTTTCCATTAATTATGATTCTAATAAACTTTAGTCGCAAATAAGTAAAAACTACATTTCTTGTGCTTCTAGTCTTTAACAACACCCTTATTACGAAAAGCTTATTAGAATCATAATTCATATACAAACATGGCCTTGTATCAACCTAATAAGCAGCAATAAGGAGTGTATTAATAGGAAAGTGTTTGTAAATGTCTAACTAATAGCCGAATAAGCTTATAGGGAATTAGACATTAATAAGGGCTGAATAAATACTAATGAATGACAAATAAACCATTTACAACTATGTTAATTAACAGGTAGTTAGACGTTAGTAAGTGTACCCTAAAATAAAGTGTTAGTATAATTTAAAACACAAAATAGTAATAGTTAATTTAATAATACCAACTGATCTTCTGCGAGTTATGATAAAGATGAAAGCTGATTCTGTAAAGGTCAAGATTGAAAGTTAATTTAATGAAGGAAAACATATTTGTATCAGTAGAAAAGCAGCCAAAATCCATAGACAGGACGTCATCATCTGAAAATAGTAACACCATTGACATGACAACTAATACTGTAATCTTGTGTAGCAAACTGACACTCATGTATTAGTCGTATTCAAACACCGCACACTCCAGGCCTGACACCACTCTCCTCTGTCAAAGTCCTTGTGCTTCTATCGCTGCTCTAATTTCCACCACTAAAGCTTTACGACCCGGCAACGTAAACTCATTTCCACCTCCAAAGCTTTTACAACCCCGAAACCTAATCAAGACACCCCCCTACTGATGTTTACATGACACACACACACCCGCCCCCCCCCCACTCTCTCGTCTCCCGGTGCTAATTACCTGTTGAGTGCTAAAAGTGTGCCCACCCCCTCTCCGTGGGGTCAGAGGTCGATGATGAGCGCTAATAGGAGAAGTTACACTGCTTAATGACGCATGCCTTCACATCAGAGTGTGAAGTTTTACAGGCAGAGTTTATAATTGCAACACTTGCTGGTAAGCACTAGTCACACTTAATGGATGACACACAGGTAATGCAGAGGTCAAGCTGGATTTTGTCGTTAAAAGTGGTTAGTGGTTAGCAGATTAAAGGCAAAGCAGTGGAGCCAGTGAGTATTCCCAGCTTGACAATTAATTTGTTTGAGAATTAGTAATTTTAAGGTACAGCTAAAAGGCTTTCAAAAATAATCTAAGGTTTTACTTTTAATTTTTTGTTAAAATCTGAACTGATGATTCATTCCTTACTAGCCACACTATGTTGAAAATTGTTATGACTAGAAATGCCAAAAATTGGGCAATACCATTTTCACTTTTGTTGCACAATTACATGTGAAAAAAGAACTAGAAATAAATGAAATTACAGAAAATTTATAGTTTCAAAATTTGGTAACACTTTATAATAACTACACCTTATTTAGCCTTAAATAAAAGCATGAACAAAGACTTAATTAATAATGGTTCACGCTTAGTAACTACTTAATTACTACCTGAATTAGCACTTAACTTGCACTTAATTCACCTGTGCTGTAAATAGTAACTCAATACTTCTTAATTACTTATGAACTAACCAATTGCATGTTTACAAATGCATATTTAAGTACACATTTGAGCATTTATTAATCATTAGTAAGCTATGAGAGAATGATTTACTAATAATGCAATGCAATGATAATTCAGGCAGCTGTTATCTGTTAGTTAAGTCTTTCTGAGAGCTTTTCTAAAGTGAAGGCTGTTGTGCTTTATTAAGAATTTGTTAAGGTTGGTCAAATTCCAGAGAAACAATAATGCATTACTAGTAAATCATTCTCTCATGGCTTACTAATCATTAATAAATGCTCAAATTTGTACTTAAATATACATTTACAAATGCACACACAAATAGTTAATTCATGAGTACTTAAGTAAGAAATAGTAACTATTAAGTAACTATTTACAGCACAGGCAAATTAAGTGCAAGTTAAGTGCTAATTCAGGTAGTAATTAAGTAGTTACTGAGCGTGAATCATTATTAATTAAGTCTTTGTTCATGCTTTATTAAGGCTAAATAAGGTGTAGTTATTATAAAGTGTTACCCAAATTTTTTACAGATTCAAGTTTGAGAGCCCAAAATAAGCACATTTTACTTTATACTATTATTTTTTCAGACGTGTTCATTATCTTGTATTATGAATCCTAAATATTCCCTTTTTCTCTTCTAGGAGCTTGAAATCCAGGCCAGAGCGCACGGTCTACCCAACATGGCTGCTCCAATGGGCTCTGTGGAGCTGTCGTCCCACCTCCTCAAACAACAACAGCAGCAGCAGCAGCAGCTCTCCCCTCAGGCACAGGCCCCTCCCCAACCCCCCCTCTACCAAGAAGACCCCAACGTTGACTACCTCCAGAGGATTGCTGTCGTGGCAACTGTCCCGACACTCCCTAACGCCGGAGCACCCCAAGAGCACCCCATGACCACCGCTGATGGGTGCACCACGTTCTCTGATCCGCTGTCCCACTTCACAGACTTCTTCAGTGCCACGCTAAAAGAGGAGCACAGACTTGACGACATTCTCATCGACGACCCGCTATCCCCGTTTGGGACAGACCCGCTCCTGTCGGCAGGGTCGCCAGGTGCAGCGTCCAAAGACAGCAGCAGGAGGAGCAGTTTTAGCTCAGCCGAAGGAGAGGAACTTTAATGGACAATAATACACTGAAAGACTGAGACCTAAACACATTTTAGTATTAACAGACGATCCACTGCCTCCCGATTGGACTGAAATGACTTATGGGAAAAAGGGAGACAATCACTAGCCTTAAAATATTGTCAATATTTTGTATTTTTTATTTTACTTATTACAACACTGGGTAGTCATACACTGTAACATATGTAAATAGTCACTGAAAGTATTCACTTCCCTTTTCACAGCTGTGCCTTACTCCTATTTTTATTTCAAAACCAAGGAACTGTATTTGAACTATTTACCGCAAAATTAACATGTATTCTGTGTTTTTCTATTTATGTATGTTTTTAACAACATTATACTAAAGTATATATTATCTAACATACTTCTCATGCTAGTAGGGGTGGGAAAACATAATAAACCCCTTGTTTCATAAACATGATTTTGTCTGAATGAATTTCAACTAGAGAGAGAGAGAGAGAGAGAGAGTGAGAGAAATATATACCAGGGGCTCAAAGAAGAGCTGGAGAAGGTCTGGAAGGTGAAGGCATTAGCAGACTGGAGGAGTGGTTACAGCAGATCCCAAGAAAAATATCAGACATCTCAGTCCAGAAAAATGCAGAACTAGGAACAGGAAAGATACTGCACAAAACTCTCAAGCTCCCAGGGTTCTGGTAGAGGGCCCAAGCTGGATGAGGGTGAGAGAGACTGACCACTGTGGAAGGTGAGGAACACATGATTTATTTTTTACATTATATATTCTTACAGTATATTTGACGCTCTAATAGGAATTTGTTTTCAATCCAAAAAGATAAATCCAATAAAATTGACATAATGACAATTCTTCCAATCTTTGAGATTCAGCAGATTTGACATAGAAAACACCAGTGTAAAGTCTCAAACCAAACACCTGAAACTTACCAGTAGAGTGACAGGTCAAAGGTCATCTGGAGCAGAGAGAATGATTGTGAGATCACAGAGGAGAGGCAGTGATTGTACTGAGCTCACATTCAAGTGAGGAGCTCTTGAGGTGAGGAAGCTATATGAACAATAGTTCACTGACAATCTTAAAGGTGCACTGCTTAACATTTCTGATGGAGGGTCCACCACCCGCAGGTTACAGCACTATGCTACATTACAATTCAGATCTGTGGAAAGTTGCTCCTATTCACAGAAGGAATTATTGTATTTTTGAGCAATAAAAACACCCATAATCAATAGATCGCAGATGGGTATATCTAAGGTAATACCATGGAACATTCCATGCAAAGCAAGAGTACCTGTCTTCATGTCTTCGCTACCTGTCGCCATGGAGACAGGTAGCGAACCCTTCACCAGAAAAGTTACACAGTGCACCTTTAAACATGAATGACAGGTGATGTTAAAAGAAGTGCAGTTTTGTAAAGATCATTTATTCTTGAACATCTTACATAATCATGATCATCCTATAGCTATAGATCATTACATCAAAGCAAAATTAAAAAAGAAAGCAAGCAAAAGCTACTCTAAGATGTGTTAAATACACTTTAGTAAACCTCAGTTTAATATTTTGTTAACAATGATTTAGGCTTAGTAACTGTTGTGGAATTTTGCATCCCCTGCATCGGCTCAACAAGGACACCTCCAGTTCACTGTTGACATTTCTCTGTGGTTACCTCTGGCATCATCCAACTATTACAGATTTTGTCCTTCTTTAACATGATCAGTTTCTTTGGTCAGCTCACAGAAGCGGAGTGCTATGCTTTTCTCTTTTTATCTCGGCCATGCTGTCCTTCTTAGCTATTTAAACCTCCTTGTGTGGAAGCACAGTCAGGCTTGAATAGCCAATATTAACGCGCAGTGTTGAGTGTTCAGGTTCACCAGGTCCCAGACTGATGATGAATAAACTTCTCCTGCCTCAAACTCCAGAGTCTCCTGCCTCTCTTTTTACAAATCTAGGACTCATTAGGACAACACTTATTTTCCCTAACAGTAACTACTTAATTCCCTAACCTATTTAAGTAGTTACTATGCCTGAAATTGTTTTAGTTCATTAGATTTGTTGATTATGAATTAAGTCTTTGTTTATGTTTATTAAGGCAAATTAAAGTGTAGTTATTATACCAGTATCTAATTTGCATGTAAAAGTTTCTTGTCTACAGCCACAAGTTTTACTCTTATCGCTGCCACAAATACTGTAATAACTTGTACAGATAATATTAAAAGTACCCAAAAGTAAAAGACAAAAAATATCCAACTACTTTTCACTCCTGCTTCAGAACATAACTATTGATGTTTGCAAATTAAGACACAAACCCTTCTCTGTTTTATGAATAATTTAACAGATAATAATCAACATGTAGCAGTTAAATCACAACACCATTAATAATACCAACACAGAGAAATACAGCAACATCTCCCACATGGGCTCTCATCAAAGTGATCCGGGCTTAATGTTTGAGTCAGACTTATTAGTGTTTCACTATAATGCAATCGAAACCGCTCTCCTCTTTAGCGGCAAATAAGATGAACAAATCAATGCTTATAGAAAATTGCCTCTCCAACTACAAAGTGGTCAGTCATGTTTAGGAGTAATTGGCCAAAGCTGTTATGCAAGGTAAATATAGATTTCCATTAAGGCTGAAAAACATGAAGAGTGGATGAAATTAAAAAGCAAAGAGCCTGTTTGATTTTTCCATGTATATGAGAAAATATACGAACCCAATTTTTCTCATGCATTCTAAATATTAAAGTACATAGTCTATAACAGGTTTTCATGTTGCTCTAATTATTACTTGGTTTGATGATAATACCTGTAGTAAATATTTATCTCAAGTTTTACATCAATTAAGTGGCAGTTTGTGGGAAAAAAGTTGAGAAAATACAGAGCTGAGTTCTAAAACAGAATCTCTACCTATGGCAATCAAAATTAAATAAAGTAATTTTTTCAGAGAGTTTAAACCTTTTAATAAAATAAATGCGTTGTCATTTGTTTCGAATAATAACTATTGTGCAATTTAGACAAGTTTTGGTCCTTGTTGACATTATGGTTGCTTGGTAATAGTTATGTTATAGTTATCAGGAAGTAAACTAATAAACCTCAGCAAAATTTTAAAAGTAGAAAAAAACAATGTAAGGTTTTTAGTAAAATCTTAATCTATGATGTTAATTATGTTTCAGTGAAATTAATAGTCATATCTGTTATGCATTTTAAAGGGCCCATATTAGGCTATTTTTGATCTACAGTACTGGTCAAAAGTTTTAGAACACACTAATTTTTCCAGTTATTTATTGCAATTCAAGTCGTGCAAATCCAATGAAGAACTTGAAATGGTACAAAGTTAAGAACTGAACAGCCAGAGGTTAAAAAAAAGATAAAAGATAACAAGACACAAGTCCAAGCTTTGCCAAAACTACCCCAGCAAAAAGAACAAGATGGTAAAGCTTGAAAACATGGAGTGTCCAGCACAGTCTCCAGACTTAAACCCCATCGAGCTGGTTTGGGATGAACTGGACAAAAGAGTGAAAGCCAAGAAACCTACAAGTGCCACAGATTTATGGGAACTTCTGCAACAGACTTGGGAAAAACTTTCTGAAGGATATTTGATTTCTATTGTAAAAAGAACGAGCCACGAGTGTGTTCAGCTGTTATATCTGCCAAAGGTGGACACTTTCATGAATCAAAATGTTAGAATACGTTTTGGTAAGTAAAAAAAATGAAAAAAGTGTGGTGTTCTAAAACTTTTGACTAGTAGTTTATGTAATAATGTTATAACATGGAGTTGTATTTTGTTTCATTCACACATGTTTAACACACAAACACTGCTTATTTAGGCTGAGTTCTTCTCTCAAACTGAAAACACTTGGTTCCACCTTGTGATGTCATGTGGTAATACCGGAAGTGCTCCACTGTGTTTATAAACTCCATTTATCTTCACTAGAATAATTTGGATAACTTCAGACCTGTAACTGCCAACTGCCTCTACTGAACTAAAGGTAAAAGGAGCTGTTCACTTAAAAACTACCACTACATGACATCACAAGGTGGAACAGACCATTTTGAGCTTTGGAAATGTAGATAGCCCAATAATCCAGGGTTAGTCCAACATGTGTGAATGAAACAAAACACAACTCCAGGTCTGTTTTTGATGAGGCAACAACATCATAACATGGCTTCAAACTTGCAGGAGTCAGTTTTGCATAATATAGCACCTTTAACTGTTTTTATTTAAACTTTACTCAAAGCTTTTTTTTTTTTTTTTTTTTTCATATCAAAAGCCAGATCGAGGGCCATAACTTCATGTGTGCTTCAAACGGAAATGTGGTCGGATGAGGCAACGGTGACATCATCAGAGCGAGACACTTTTTATTTGGGATATCACACTTCATCAAAATACGCCACACGGACACGCAGGAAGTCATATGAACTGTGAACAAATATGGTCAAAACAGCGTTGGCTTTTCGACTACATTGTTAGGTTAAAAACATTAGCAAAGCATTTGGGAGAACTTTATTTCAGTCCGACTCCTACGCTCTTTTCCTGATCCAATATTTTAGGGTGTGCTGAAGCTTTCCAAATGGGCACATCTTGTAAAGCCATTGTTTCATTTGTTTTAATGGTGTTCAGAATGGTGTCCCTCAAAGAATTACCTGTAACAGTACGTTGTGTTCACATGATGTCATAACACTCTGAAGGGCCTACGGTTTAAATTGAAGAAGGATGAAATAGCTATTGTGTAAAAATGCAGATGTTTTGACTTTATGGTTACATTACGCTATTTTCTGATCTACTTTATCATCTTTTTTCCTCATCACAAACATACCTGGAGTTGTGTTTTGTTTCACTCACACATTTATCACACAAATCCTGCATATTTAATTTATTTTGTCAAACAGAAAACACTCCAGTTCCAGTTTATGATGTCATGTGGTGATACAAGAAGTGCTCCACTGTGTTTTTAACTCCATTCACCTTCTCAGGAACTATTTGGACAATTTCAGCTCTGGGATTGTCAATCTCTACGAAACAAAAGAGAGCTGTTAACTTGAAAACTACCACTTCATGACATCCCAAGGTGGAACAGATCATCTATTTATCTATCTAAAACAAGATAATATATATATAAAAAAAACCTTTAAAACAAGACAAGTGGTGGACCCTAACCAATTTTGATGATTTTGATGATTATTATTATTATTTTGTAATGTAATTTCTTTCTTATAATAACAACCACAAAGACAACAACAGCAACAACAACGACAACAACAACAACAAAATAACAACAACATTAATAAAATAACAATGCCACTTCAAATTTTTCATGTAACTTTTATTCTGGTCTCCATTACCATGTTATTGCTGGGGCATTTTACAAACTAAGAATGTATGTTTTTCAAGCTTTTTATTTTAGCACCTTTAATTGTTAGATAGATACATTTAAAGGCATATTGTGGAAC